AAGAGCGGTCCAAAATAAATTAGAACATACTCAACCCGATAAAACATATGAGAAATATCATATTGAAAGACCCTTGTAACTAAACTAGAATTCAAAATAAATAACGACAACGTATTCTCATGATCAATTACATCTTTGGAAAAAAACTCAAGAAGACTCGCAATAAAGTTAAAAGGTGAAACTTTTGCCCACAAATAATGTGGAAGTGAAGAGGTGAAACATTTTCCCAATCCTTTTAGGATTCATATTCCGGAGAGCGTGCTAACTTTTTCATGCACCGGTAACTAGGAGGCTAAGTAGTTTGTGAGTTTTTCCGTATATGTGTAAATTTTTTATCGTTTCATATTTTTGTTATCCATTTGACGTAAACTTATTTTTTTCAAATGAAAAAAAGAATAAAGCTTTAAACAGGTTCAACCTTTTTTTGAGAGATTGGAATTTCAAATTTATCAATATTAAGTTCCTTGGGGGTGAGTAAAAGTGTCGATACAATTTTAAACCTGAGGAAGTTGCAGCCTTAGAATTCAACTAATAGAGTGCATGAGAGAGCTATCTATGATGGTAACTTCCTTTTCGCTGTAGTGTCAAAATATGGAGAACACCAGAGAGGAATTGGTGGAGGCGCAAGCCAATCTCAGCTAGAGCACCAAGAGTCTGAAGGCTGTGAGATCAAAGGTGTCTGCTCTCAAAGAAGAGGTCCATAAAGTGAGATCCGAGAAGGAGGTTAACATTTGTCGAGTTGAGATGAGAGCTGTGTAGAACTTTAAAAGCTTGATTGAGTTCAAGAGCATCTTTCAAGATCACATTCAGGAAGCATGTGATCATATGTATGAAGTCGATCTGAAGGAGCTGCAGAAGGAGGGTGTCGACGGAAGATTCATGGGTCTTCCTAAAGAGGGCTTGAGCAGACATTGTTGTACTGGTGTTGTCGTATAGAGATTAACCCCCAGTTAGGCTTCATAAGACCCTCTTTTTAGATTTTTAAGGTGAGGGCATTGAGAGTTGATACATCATCAACAAAATTTTTCATTTGACATGAATCACAAGGCAATCGGTACAAATATTAAAACAATTTTAAAGCAATAAACGTTCAAGCCTTAATAAAAAATTCCAAAGCTCTATTTTCAACAAACTCACAGTCAAACTGACTATCTCATTGAAACGAACACAATGACTCAAAAATTCATTCAATCTGAGTTAAATCAAGCATGAATCAAGCCATTTAACTATTTTTTGAAAGCTTTTGGTGCATAATTGGAAGGTCAAACTGATTTTAAATTTGATAATCTTGTAGTTAAATCGAGCGCATCGATGAGACAAATTCAACGGGGCCAAGATCACTCAATTTTGACATTATTAAACCACTCAAATATCCAAAACTATTACCTGAGGGAATTTCTCTTAACTATCTGATGGAGCGATCCAAACTCTTACCTTATTTGCAGGAGGCCTCTCCTAAACTCTAAAAATAGAGTCCTACCATTTCCAAAGGAAAACCAGAGCTTGTAGGAGGATTCAGAGGATGAGCTGAATTCCATCAATCTTTTATGCACCGAAGATTTGACGAATGATGCCCGCTCTTTCAACAACCCTCGACCACTGTCTGTCGCCTCTTGTCATTACAACTAAGCCTCGAGCAGAGTCAAAATGTATTGTGAAGCATTGAAGTACTGTACAAAGTAACCACAACAATCTTAAAATAATGAACATCCTACAAACCAGTGCATCATTCTAAGCACAATGCTGTGACAAACCTCGAAGATGGTATACTGAGCTCTGACCACTGCCCCCAACTACAGCTGTTGCGCAATGATTTCTTTAGCATACGAATATTATACCTCAAGGAACTGTGTAACACTTTTTCCGCCTGTGGAACAAAGGCCTAGACGTAAAATCTCTAATTCATATAGTGGGTCATTTAAGCTAGACTAGACACAATGTTCTTTTTTCCTTTCGGGTTTTTCAAGTAAAAACTTATGATATCTCTAACTGTTACTTCTATTATCTTAGTGTGTGCTCGACTTTCGTGTAATCCTAAGACACTAAATAATCACTCTATCACTACAAATCATATGACGCACATCACATAAAAAATCACAATTTTAACTTTTAAAAATGAAACACAACATTTATGTATTAGATTTATAAATACATAGGAATTGAGTGGTATGTATGTTTGTAAATCTTTCCAAAAAAAAAAAACTTATAATAATCTCTAACTCCCATCTTGTTTTTATTAGAATTATAAATTTGGGAATTCCATTGATGTATAGCTGCCAGCTTGCATGCTGAATTTCATGGTGCATGCCAAGCATAAAAACGACAATAAAGCATTTATGAAGAGGAAAGAACAAAATCAATTGGGAGAAAATATCTCCCTACGCCTACATGACACCAATGAACACATGCAATCATGAAAACCTTACAAAAGGGAATGAAACTGAAAGTGGGAGAATATCTATCTAAGCTTATTGAATAATCTGCTGATAAGTTAATTAAAAATAGTCTGCTGATAAATTAGGTGCGGTGACTATTAGAAATTTTTATTTTTTTGGAAAAAACAAGACCGTTGTCAGAAAGTTGTCACCGCATAGGTGCAGTATGAAAATGCTACTTTCAGTGTTTTCAAAACGCATAAGCCGTCAAAACGCAGCTTACCCAAACAGTCCAAGTGCGTTTTCAAAACGCCACCGCACCAAATAAGTTGTTCCGAACGGATCATATATATATATATATATATATATATATAAAATTCTTTTATGTTGATATATGTAATGTGATAATAGAAATTTGAAATATGAATATTTAAGTGTTAGATCTATAATAACATAGAAATTTTGTGGTTTAAATGTAAATATCCTAAATAGTATTAATTTTGTGCCGGTTAAAGCCAGACATATTTGCCTGCAACTGTTTACTAATTTATCTCATTTGATATATAATATTAATTTACTCCAAATAACCCCCCAACTTTTATTTATTTTCAAACCAGAATTTATCAAATTTTTTTTCTTCAAAATATTTACCAAATAAATATATTTGAATCAACAGACAGAGAGCTCACTAGTCATGATTTTGCATTTAATTAGATCATAATGTTTAAGCAGGGCCACATACTGGAGAAAGATTTGACTTACGTACGTTAGCTAGGTGGCGCTACATACGTAGGGTAGATTACAGAGAGAGTATTGAGAGTTATATCCACACTATACCTCTTATAACTTATAAATATATGAAAATAGAAGCGTAGATCCTACTAATTACAGATGTATTATAGAAATGTTACAGAAGTACAAATATTACACTATGCACCTAATCCATTTCTATCTTTTAAACTTCATCTTCTGTCTTAAACCTCATAAACCTTAAGACGTAAGATCAAGAAATGGTTTTCTAACAGAATGTGCAAGTGGGGAAGTGAGGCGTGGCGCTGCTCTTGTCCGTTTTACCAGCTTTTTCCGACGGTAAGAGTGTGAAAGCATCTTGTTTTTCCGTGCTTCCCGTTTGAAGACGGCCGATTGTAGGATGGTTTTCTCACATTCTTCCTCGCCTGCTACATTCTAAGTTCACCTCTCTCTCTCACTTTCCTCCAGTGATTGTGGTAATGGAAGAAAGGAAGAAAGGGTTTTCTGCTCTGCTAGTCCTGGTGGTGCTGCTTACTGGGTGTAGCTTGGTTTCAGCTGCTTCTCCAGCAAGTGAGTTCGTTTCCTTTTTCTTCTTTCTACTGTTGTTTCTTCTCTCATTTCCTTGTTAATCTCGCTTTTCGTAGCAGAGTTGGTGAGTGGATTTATCTCCAATGCATTTTCGGCGATCTTCAAACTGCTATGGTCGATGACTTCTACGCCAAAAACTGGTATAGGTTTTCTTATGGTTCTTTGCTGTTTTGGGGGTTTTGATTTGATTAGTGTTTTATAGTGCTATCCGGCCGCCCAATGATGAAATTTGAGAGTGGGTATACGGTAGAGACTGTATTCGATGGTAGCAAGCTTGGAATCGAGCCATTCTCGGTGGAGGTACTGCCGGGCGGTGAACTCTTGGTTTTGGATTCTATGAACAGCAACATTTACCGGATTTCTCTTCCACTGTCCAGATGTGAGTGGTCGTTTTCTTTTTTTTTTTTTTGTTTCTTCTTGTGGTTTTCTTTTTTTAATATGCGAAGATCGTGTAGGATGTGGCCCATTTTGTTAAATTTTGCGTTTGTTTCTACATTTTCTTCTTGTTTTTTTTTTCCTGCTGTGGCTTAAGTTCGTTGAGGGATTTTGATTCTGTGAGGAATTTTTCGCTGCTATTTTTAGTGACATGAATTATCTTTCATCACTAGCATGTGGGAGGGAGACTCTTCAAAAAGAAGAAAAAAAATTGCAGTGTTCTTAGGGGTGTTAAAAATGTCATTCTAGTGCAAAATGCTGGCAGTATTTTTACCAGACTTGACAATATGGGAATTAGATTACAACCACTTTTTATATATATATATATATATATA